CTCTACCACTTGAGCCACAGCGCCACTTCCAGCTTTTTCTGCTTATGTGTTGCTGAGGAATCAAACCCAGGGCCTCAAGCATGCAAGGCAAGCACTCTACCACTGAGCCATCTTCCCACCCCTGCACTGATTGTTTTTGAGGTAGGGTCTTGCCTTTAGGCCCAGGCCAGCGGAATGTGATCCTCCTAATTGTGCTTCCCTAAATTGCTGGGATGACTGCCACTGTACTTAGCCATTGTGTTTCCCACATAGCCTTGGATGACAGATGCCAGCCCCTCTGCTTAACCATTCTCCAGCTGGGCTCCAGTAGCTCATGCCTCTAATCCTAGCTACTCAGGAGGCTAAGATCTGAGGACCACAGTTCAAAGCCAGCCTGGGCAGGAAAGTCCATGAGACTCTTATCTCGAGAATAAACCACTAGAAAACTGGAAGTGGCTCTGTGACTCAAACGGTAGAGTGCTTGTCTTGAGCTGAAGAGCACAAGGGCAGTGCTCAGACCCAGAGTTCAAGCCCCAGAACCGACAAAAAAAAAGATGGACTCTCCAAACTTTCTGAATATGTGGCCTGTCTCTGAACTGCAATTCCCCCAACGTATGTCTCCCACATAGCTAGAATTACAAGCTTGAGCCGACCATGTGGGAGAAACACATAAAATTATGATCTTAACAATTTTAGTGTAAGTTAGTAGTATTAAGCATATTCACGCTGTTGTGAAACATGTCTTCAGAACTTTCATCTTGCAAGCCCTGCCCCATACTACTCAAGTAAAGTACTTTTCTCCCCACTCCTTAGTAACTACCATTCTACTGCAATAGGTACTTGAAGTACTTTTGTTGAAAAGCATTGACTTTTCTCGGGCCTAGGAATTAACTAAAAGCTGAGTAAAGACTTAGCATCCCAGTCTCCACTTTGTATCTGTGTTCTTGGCTCTGCACCATACTTTCCTGCAGTTACTCTGTCAGGTCCTGAAATCCAGGAAGGACAGGACTGAGGGATGAAAGAGCTCCTCCTGCCAGGCAGCAGGGACTCATTGTGACAAGGCCCTCCTGAAGGACAGGACTGATGAATAAACCTTCTGTATCTGCAGACACAGCTCCCCTGCTGGGGAGTAGTGACTCATTGTGACAAGTGACAGGTAACTACCAATCCTGAGACAATTACCAGTTGCCCCCCACTGGTGATCATTCCCTGTGACTGAGACAATTTAACATTACGAATTCCACTCTCCCTCTGTCCCAATTCATCCACTCTCCCTCTGTCCTAATTCACCCTCTCATTTGAACCGAAAGCAAATGTCTTTGTGGGGGTGGAGGAGGACTTCAAATATACTGTATACTTTTTTTTTTTTTGTCGGTCGTGGGGCTTGAACTCTGGGCCTGGGCGCTGTCCTTCAGCTCTTCAGCTCAGGCAAGCGCTCTACCACTTGAGCCACAGCGAAACTTCCGGTTTTCTGGTGGTGGTTTATTGGAGATAGGAGTCTCACGGTCTTTCCTGCCCGGGCTGGCTTTGAACCGTGATCCTCAGATCTCAGCCTCCTGAGTAGCTAGGATTACAGGCGTGAGCCACCAGCGCCCGGCTTATACTGTATACTTTTGCTTTTCCTACAGCGTGCCCGTTTAGTATTAATTAAATCTTTCTTTATAGTAAATCTCCTTTCTCTGACTTTTACCACTACGGACCTCTTCATGTGGCATATTGGGGCAAGTGTCCCAACCTTACAAATGAAACTAGGAGTTTTAGCTTGGAGCCTTTCTGTCTTAAATAATTTGATTATTTTAAACCTGGCTGCCAGTGATCATGCCTTTATCCTAGCTACTCAGGAGGCTAAGGTCTGAAGATCATGGTCTAAAGCCAGCTCTCATGGGAAAGCTCATAAAACTAATCCCTAATTAACAACCAAGTCTGGTAGAGTACCAGTCTTGAGCAAAAAAGCTAAGGAACAGCTTCTCGGCCCTGAGTTCAAGCCCTCGTACCAGCATAATTTTTTTTTGACTATTGTAGATATTTAGTGTGAGTGGAATCATACAGAGTTTGTCTTTTTGTGATTGGCTTATTTTACTTAGGATAGGATAATGTCCTCAAAGTTTATTCATATTTTTATTTATTTATTTATTTTATTTATATTTTAGCATTTGAGAGATAGATCCTTTTTTAGGGCTGGATAGTATTCCATTGTGTTTCTTCTGTTGTGAATATCCATTCATCTGTTAGTGGACACTGTGGTTGCTGCTGTGAGTACTGCTACACGAACATGAGAATACTTTGAAAGGCTGCTTTCAGTTCTTCCATCTGTATACCTAGAAATGAGATTTCTGGGTCACGTGTACTTTTATATTTAATTTTTGGGGAAACCTCCATATTGTTTTCCATAGCAGTTGTATCATTTACAATCTTATTAACAATAATACAATAACAATACATTTGCTATTCTTTGCTAAGAGCATCCTGATAGGTATGAGGTGATATTTAGTCATGGTTTTCGTTTGTGTTTTCCTGGTGTTGAATATCTTTTCATATGTTTATTGCTCATTTTATGTCATCGTTTCATAAATGTCTTCTCAAAGACTTTGACCCAAAAAGGCTGTTTTATTTTATTTTATTGTTTTTGTACCAGTCCTGGGGCTTGAACCCAGTGCCTGGGTAATGTCTCTAAGCACTTTTGCTCAAGGTTATTGCTCTACCACTTAAGCCACAGCGAAATTTCTGGCTGCTTTTTGGTAGTTAACTGGAGATAACCAGACTCATGTACGTTCCTTCCTGGACTGGGTTCAAACAGTAATCCTCAGATCTCAGCTTCCTAAGTAGCTACTCCAGTTCAGCTTTTTGCTGGTTAATTTGAGTTGGAGTGTCTTCTTTTGGGGCTGCTTCTTACTCAGATCCTCCAGGTCTCAGCATCCTGCTCAGGATTTTGCTGGTTAATTCGAGTTGGAGTGTCTTCTTTTGGGGCTGCTTCTTACTCAGATCCTCCAGGTCTCAGCATCCTGCTCAGGCCTAGTTTTACAGACACGCACGCGCGCGCGCGC